ACTTTTGGTGTCGATCATTCGATTTCATCCTGGACACTACAGAAAATGGGCTTAAAGTGTAAAAAACCGAACTTCTCCTTTAAACAGCCTCTGTGTTTAGTCAAGATGTGGTAGTTTGTAGGAGAGTTGGATAGAGTTTTGATATATTCTAAGAGTACATTGGTTGTTTTTCCAATCAATCTAGTTGGTTAAAACTATTTTGGTTGGATTAAACAATTAAATGATCAAAATCTGAGCAAGGCAATGGTTACAGATGTAATGGGTTTTATCTAGTACTGCTTTCTGATGAACTATCATCTCGCCTGTGGTGTCAGCTGTAGATGGACTTCCACTACAAACGCTGATGGTTCAAGACCCACTTCAGCCTTTTGAAAGTTGCGATAAAATACAACATGTATTTTGGCTAATGTGACTCATTTGTATTGGTTTGCCCTAGTACAAATATAGAACAGGTAAAAATACTGCCAAAAGATTGGTTGAACACATAACTTCCAACCCGATTAAAATAAAAAACTGTGGAAAAACTGTTATGTTTAAATAAAATGACTAACACCATTAATTTTGCTCATCATTTCCCAATTTGCACAAGCACTGTCTACTTGAGTTTATTTCACCAAAATGGCAGAAAAACAGTGGAGAGGAAATCTGGTTTGTATTTTTTTTTTTATCTTAACTGATTGTTCTCTTCTAAGACATTTTCACACAACAAAACTTACTACAAATGTTATTATACAGACCAATCGTTGACAACTTCAAAAGAACTTAAAAGGAAAAAAAAAACAAGAAAAACAATTGGGAAAAAAAAAATCACAGATTATATTACCAACCAAAGTAATTCTGCACTTAACCAGTAGGTGGTGACATGTTCACATGAAGCTTCATCTCACCATCACTAATCTTAACTTAAGGAATATAGAAAATAATTACCGTAGTAGCCAAATCAACAGTAAGTTTAAAAAAACAAGTAAACTTGCTCTGAATAAGTGTAGCTGTCAGGGTTTGGTTGGGGTTTTTAGGACCCAAATGCAGAGGCGAGGAGGTAGAGGTGAGTTCTTGAAGATTTAAGTAAGTGCTCACCGGCAACTGAGGGAGGAATCCAAAAATCTAACATAACAAAATACAGAAAAAACAGAACCTTGGAGACATATGAGAATACAAACATAAGGAGCCAGAAAAACATGAGGAACCAACACTGGGGAACTGCACAGATAGAGTATATATGGGAGACTGAACAAAGACAGGATTAATGAGTTGATTGGGAGCAGGTGTGAACAAAGGATTCTAGAAGGAGCTAGGAAAAAAGGAGACCAACACAAGAGGGCAACAGAGGGCAAGAAAGAAAAACCTAAGAACTCAAACATATCCAGAAAACACGACAAAATAGATATTAAACCAATAAAACTAGAAAACAAAGAAAAACATGGATCAAAGTGAAACTGAAAACTCAGAGAAAACAGAACCAAGACTGTGACAGTAGCATAGCACCAGGGAGAGTCAACAACCAAATAGGTGGGCCCAGACTTGGTTGTTCAACAAACCATCAAACTCCATGCAGAAAATAAGAAGGTGGGAATTAAAACAGAGAACCTTTTTTTCTGCAAGACAACTGTGCATTAAGCTGCATCACCATAAAGTGTATATCTCATTTCAAGTAAGAGTCACAGCTCTTAAACCAAGATCCTTAACACCTGATCAAAGAAGAAAGGTAAGCTTGTTATATGGTTTAACTCACCGAGTTAGAGATTTGTGAAGGCAACCCTTGTGAGTCTTTTTGGTGTCTGATGTACCACCACTGGATCTCCAGGGAGAATGTGGGAGAGCCTGCCCCACGGAAGGAGCAGGCCATCTCTACATCTTCTCCAATCTGCGTTTTTATGTCGTGAGGAACCTCTGTAAACAAAGCTACGAGAGGGTGTAAAGAGAGTTAGAAATAGAAGGCCTATAGATAAGAGGTGAGTATATTTTTCTCAAAATATCAAAAACACAATCCAGACAAACTGAGGCTCTCTGCAGAAATGTTTGGACTGTTTTGTCTTTTTTATTTGATGCAAACCTAAATTCTTTATTAGTTTAGATTACCTTGTCTTCATTTGAATAGTTTTCTCCTTTTGTCCCCTGGTCTACATATCTCACTAAGGAAGGAGAATAAAAAAAATATATCAACAGCCGCTGATCTAGTTATCTGAAAAATTGCACTCCACAAAATGATTAAAATCCCTTTAAAAAAATACAAGTCACGTCCCCAACAAACCTACAGTAGACCCTTCCAGTTGTTGATATGAAATTTCATGGCTATCAATCAGAGGTAAACACATCTTTGTTTTTTACTCATATTGAGCTTTGTGTTAGAATGTACATTTTATTATAGGGGGTGAACCTGTTCCTCTCCAGTCTCAGAGTCCTCTAGTGTTCCCTCTCAAGAGACCCCTGAGCCCGCTCTGTGCCGTCCAGAGACCCCAGAACCCCAGGAAGCATCAAGGGTTAAAGCAGAGAACTGTGAGAGCTCTAAAAGGCCTTTCAGCGGGCAATCCACGCCTCTAAGGCTCCTGAGCGTGTGCTCCACACCTCCAAGTGGGTCTCTAGCTGTGCCGGCTCTTTATGGGTTCCAAGCGTTGCTGCCTTCTCAGGGGTTAAAGTGCTGCAGTGGGCGGCACCGAAGGTTCCTGCTGCAGAGACACTGTCCTCCAGAGGCCCTCCTTCAACACCGTCCTCCAGAGGCCCTCCCTCGACGCCGTCCTCCAGAGGCCCTCCTTCGTCGCCTCCGGCCTCATGGCCGGCCTCTAGGGACTCTCCATCGTCCCCAGGCTCATGGCTGGCCTTCAGAGACTGCCTCATCATTGCCCTCCTCTGGTGGTTGATATTTTTGTTTTGGACTCTGTGTTTTGTTTTTTGCTCTCTTTCCTGGGCCCCGCCCGCCCGCCCACCCTGGGTGGGTTGTTTTGTGTTTCTTTTCTTTTTTTGGGTTTGTTTTTTTTAACTCTAAAGGCGTCTTGTATCCGCCCAGGTACTTTCAACGTTCCTGTGTGTTAGTTAGTGCGAGTTATGCATTTCTCTCCAGAGAGGATCTTTGGGGAGGTGAAGATAATGTGCTGTCAATCAAGGTTCCTGGGGGGGCACAGCTCTGAACACTGACCGCTGCGCCAAATCTAAACTACTCTTGGCTAAAGTCAATTAACGGAAATGGGAGGGGGGTTGCAGAAAAATATTGGTGGGGACATGTCCACGCCAGTCCTTCACAAAGTTACACCTGTGATCTGCATGCATGGATGTGCATGCATGCTGAAACTCTCTACCATTCTTTATGACAACCAACCAACTTCTGCTGTTTCACCATCACCGACAGGGCTGGAGTGAGAAATCCCGCACCTTGCTGTGGTTGAATACAGTTTGATTAAGAATCTGTGCCTCTGCGATTTGGAAATTGCGTTTTGTTGATTTGCGATTAAATGCCCAGCCCTTATTTACTCTGGTTTTGTATTAAACTTGTACAAGCATCAAAAATTAAGCAGCACATGTGTTTTTGCTGCTCCTGTAGCTTGCGGTGTGAATGTAGCATTATGGTGAATTATTGCCTCAAACTCTCAGCATCTCTCTCAGACGAGGTCAAACCTTACGACCATTTGAATCATAAGACTTTTAATGGACCCGTGAACAAGGGGATGTTTATGAAGTTTACCTCTCCCTCCACAACCAAAAGGATGCCAGTGTGACTCTTTCCTTGAGCTCTGATCCCCTAACAGAGGTCGATAATCCCCATGACAGTTGTCAAATTATATTTTCAGTTCCCCACAGAGACCTGCTCCCTTTCAAAGCAATTGTAGAACATGTTTCTTTTCACAAACATACTGTATTCATCAGACACCCCAACTGTTTCCCTGCTTGAATCACAGCAGCGTCTCCCAGAAATCAATCATGTAACCTTGACAGAATGCTAAAAAAACTCAAAAGCTGACTCCACAAACAATAATTCGTGGCATTTTCTGCAAAAAGACAAACACAAGGTTCTAATCAGAATACTGATTTTCAGAAATTGTTTTAGTACACCAGGCTACCTGATCTATAAAGCATCAGAGTTGGCGAATGATGTTTTTGCTTGGCTCTGCCTCATCTAAATATAGATTTTCATTAAGGGAGTACTGTTAAAACCAACCACAAGCAGAAGCAAGGGAGTCAGTTTGAAGCGGTATGAAGGGCCCAAGCATATTTAGAAAGGCCCTCAGCCTTAAAAATTGTTGTTCAGTGAACAGTGATAAAAGTGATAGCTGTTCACGATCCATTTTAAACCTATTAAGAATTAAGAGGGGAAACAATAATGAAATAATGTACTAGAGGACTCAAAAAATACAAGCAGCAACTGTTAACATGGATGAAAAGCAAGCATGACAACTGCATCTGTTGCTCAAGAGTCTATTGCTTCTGGTTACCTTTGTAAAATGATCACAGGACATGATTGGTGTTTTTTATCTATTTTCACTGCACACATTAAAAGGTAAAAAGAAATAATGAAAATTTAGAAACAATTTATAAAATAGTGGATTAGTAAAACTTTAGAAGCAGAAAATACACCAAATATATCCAAGTTATGTCCAAGTAAATGTGCTTAATCATGTCCTTTAATAAAGAAATATTTAAGGCTAAGTTCATGATGCTGTAGATAAAAGGTTATACATTTTAACTAAATATAGTTTCTAAATTTTTTGAAGCTCAATTTTGTGTTGTTTTTTTTTTATTAACTTATTTCACTGTGGAATATTTGATGAAAACTAAATTAAAACTAAACGTGCAAAACTATGAAAAACACATCATGCAAAAGTGAAACTGGGAGAGAAAAATGTTGTACATTTTGCAGATAAAGTGACCCCATAAAATCTACACATAAAAAAAATCCAGAAATACTGAATTTTACCGGTTACACCAGTTGGGAACCAAACTAGGTATTGAAAATAACCAGTAGATTTTAACTTAATATTCTATTTTTAACCACTGTATGTAGAAGCAATCTGCTGGGATTAAACAGATATCTGTGACTAAACATGAAAGTGGAAAACGGCCCTTCACACATCTGGTATTTAGAATTAACAGCAGGAACATGTGTACAGCTGAGAAAAAAATAATATGATACTTAAGGAAAACCAGTTGATTGAATCGACTTATTGACTCGAAGGCAATCCGTCACACCAAGCATGCTTGTAGTGACAGTGGAGAGGAAATCTGGTTTGTATTTAATTTTCTTTGCAGGAAAAGAGATCAAGCTTATGAGTTTTTGTTTTTTTTGTTTTTTATGAATCCAGTTAGGCAATCCTTTTCAATTCCAATTAGTTTTATGTTTAGGATGTGCAAATTTTGCACAAAGGACAATTTTTTAAATACAGTCAAAGAAAATTCCATACATAATTATGACAAGATGAGTGCTTTAGCACTTTTATTATTGTGGGCACACTTTGTTTTGAAGGTACACCCTGAAGTCCAAGCCTTCCCCCAGGTCCATTCAATCAAAATCCATCATTCTTTGTGGAGGACAACATGCTTTACAGAGGTAAAAAATGACAAACAATTAAAAACTGGAAACATATGCAATGTAATAAAAGAATCATTCATTATAAAATACTGATTGTGTCTTTACATTATATCTATGCTGTATGGTAAAGGAGTAGCAAACCCTTTGAATAAGCTCTAATTTCCTTTTTATTTGATTTTATTGTAAATCTTAACTTTAGTGTGCTGCTACAGTATGTTTATTTTTGCCTGATCCATGTATGTCTACATTTTTGTCCTGTACATAACATCTTCTTTTCAGGTGAGGAGGCCTAAGGGGCGGGGCTAATGATGTTGCGGCGCCTGTCAAGAAGTGCAACAGTTTGGGCTACCTGTTATTTCACAAGTACGTCTTACAGCATTACTATACACTCATCGGCCACTTTATTAGGTACACCTGTCCAACTGCTCGTTAACACTTAATTTCTAAGCAGCCAATCACATGGCGGCAACTCAGTGCATTTAGGCATGTAGACATGGTCAAGACAATCTCCTGCAGTTCAAACCAAATGATTTCCCTGAAGGTCTCAGCTAACCTGACTCCTCTAAAAACAAATATTAAAGTCTTGAAGTAGTTAGAGGAACATTTAAACTGTTTTATTTGCGCCTATTTTCCTGAAAATGGGTCCAGCAAATTCTGTTTTCAAACTTTTAAAATCCTATTCATTAACAGCAATGAGAGAAAATCCATATAGGTTTAGGTGTCTTCCTAATTTCCATCAAGCTGAATCTACGAAGTATGTGAGCTTAGTCATGATAAGAATTATTGGGATCTGGAAGGTTGCCTCTTTTGAGTGCAGCAAATAAGCTATTACCTTAGCTAAGAGATTAAATCACAGTGACAGAGTGAAACAATGGGTTCTACTCCTTACATTTGAACAATAAGGGTAGAATTTGGTTATCACAAAAAAGGTATAACAACATGGGACTTTTCCCCGAAAGTAAGTAAGTGTGTATTTTGTACCAACTCAGTAACTGGACAAACTGACTGATTGTCTTTGGGGAAATAACGATTTGCTGAGAGACCTTCAGACTGAATTCAAGGTGGAAGGTAAAAATAATGAAATACAAATGGCATCGGTAACCAAGTGAGCAGCTGTTGACTTGTTGCGACCCATACTTCTGGCTTGTGGGGTGAATTTTTCATAGCCCCTGGGACACAGGTCTCAGAAGCTATTTCTGCCTTTCTTTCCAAGAAGTGGAAACATGATGTAGCACTAGTTGTTGACAATAAGCACTGGTGTGTGCAGCCCCCCCCCCAAAAAAAATAAATAAATAAAAAAAGAAACAAAACAATATCACAAATGCTTAAGAAAAATTATTAAAATTGGAATATATTCATTGTCTTTAGAGAATTGAAATAATGT